CCCACAGCGCATTCAGAGACAGAAACTCTTCGCCCTCCCAGTTCTTCAGTGTAGCCAACTCGCCACGAGCTACCTCCCGTAGGGCCTGCATGAAGCCTTTCCTTGCCACAGCAAGCCTAGGACTGCTCTTCTGATTCATGATCAATGCAAATGTCTGAAATTGGACACAACATTCAACAAGAAATCTCAGAGTCTGAAGCAGCAGCAGTAATACTTTACTCTCACTACCAGAAATGCTTGATATATTCCCCAACACATGCCTTGCCCATGGCCACATCACGTTTATTTGTTGTCACCACCTGGCCCACTATTTCAGTCATTTTTTCTGATGATTGGGTAGTTAGCAAACGTTTTTGTTACTGGTTTCAAAGTTTATGACTTTTAACTTTGTAATACCAAATTTTATTTCCATCTGTTACGTTCATCCAGTGAGTCATTCCATTCTACCTGTATGACAATGGTCACCTCTCCATTTATGTTATTCGATATTTTTTCAATAAAACCTTAATATTTCTGCCAAGATCACTAACAAAAATATAATACAAGACTGCTTGTAGACTGTAACATCAAATTGTAAATTTGCTTATTCATCCAGTTAGGTGTGGTACTCTTTTTTTTTTTTTTTCCCTCTCTTTCCTTATTCAAGACAGATTCTTCTTAAAAATGATAAATTTATTTTGAAGAAATTTCAGGCGTTTTCTCCATTCAATGTCAGTTCACCTTGCTTTCTTACGGCAGTCCTATTTGCTTGTTCTTTTATTGAAACCCAAAAGCATAGTGACAGAACCGTTTTTGTTTATTCATCTATTTCAACTGAACTTGAAAATACCTCAAATTGTGAACGCTCAGGTTTAAGAGCAGTATCTCTAACAGTGCCTTTATCACTTAACAAAGCTGATATCTAGACTTTGCATTTCAGTGACTAGTTGAAGAAACCTTTCATCTAGAACCTACAGAAAAGTTTGGGCCTGCTTTCATTAGCAGAACTTTTAACTTCCCAGGTATAAGCAGGAGAAGTAGTTCTTGCAATGACAGAGTTCTTAGTAACTCTTCTTTCTAAGAAATTAGACACTGAAATTCAAACCTGAGTATTTAAATTCCTAAATGAATTCTACCAAGGTAATCTAAGTTCTTCCTCACCTACCTCAGCTCACTTGGAATTTTATTCCACAGAAATTCTTTTTAATCCGTGCTGTCATTTCTCTATCCTTCTCTCCTATTCAATATTTGGTGCTCTTCCACCCTTTTATTTTTAATTTTCCTGAAGAGTTTCTAAGCCCTTATAGCTGGATTCCAAACACACCTGCTGTCCCACCATATTTATGCTTTTTCTCTGTTGCACATCTGCACCAGTACTTCAAGCTCCTCTGTCATGTTGCCTGTCACAGGACACTTAGGTGCAAATATTTCAGCTTTTCCTACGACATCGATGTTTGCAATGAGCTCTTACTCATCACTTGACTTTCAGATTCATACTAAGCATGTCTGTGCTCAAGGAGCCTCCAGCTCCCGGGTAGAGATGCCTGTCAGCTGCATCATGCATCATTTGCTGACCATGGGGCTTCAAAACTTTTGTCCTGAATTAGACTTAGCTAAACTGGGCAAAGCCATGATCAGGCCCACAGCTGCTGAGCAGCAATGGACCATTCCCCAGTCTTTCCTCCTCTTCTCCCCCATCCAAGAACACCCAGAACAACTACACCAACCTCCAAGACAGCAGTCACACCATCCACCAAACCAACAAACACGCAACACTGTGCATGGCACTGAATACGTTGTCATCCTCTGGAGTATCTAATCAAGTTTATCCTCAATAAAATCAACAAGATACCTACTTCTGGTCCAATGTGGTCACCTACAATTCTTACAAAGACTCTCATCATCACAGAATTTAAGAGAAAAGCTACACTGTTCAGAAGTTTAGGAGCCTTGTTATTAGGGAAAACATGGACCTACCAGATCTACTTCATGTAGCAACATTCAGCTACTAAAACACACATGTATAATGAAGGTCAGAAATAGTAATTTTATTATCTACAGTATCACATCTAAATATGTGGGCTTACAGCACTTGATGTTTCTAACTTCACTTTTAGCAAAACCAGGTTCTGCCAGTCAACCAGTTAGATGCCTATACCATTTACATGAAGAAAAAACATTTTCATAAGAAGAAATGTTACCATATATATCTTCAATTATCATATCTCTGAATTATTTTATCTGAAAGTGGTGAGATTACATATTTTTAAAAGAATCTGAAGAGCTTCTGCCTACTGTGGTTTATACACAGAGAATACTATTTCTGTATGTGAAACTCTGCTTAGCATAGCACTATCCCATTATACCACTTTTCTCCTGAAAATCAGATTCACACAAGCTTTTATGTTTTCTGAAACTCCAAACATGGCACTGTCGCTATTTACTCTTTTTCCCCCCACGTACACAAGTGTCATTAATTGCAGGGAGATTCCACTTTCAACTGTCTTACCAGGAACACCACTTCGATGTTCTATAAAACATTCACATGCTTCATCCTTTTAGTTCAAAAATCATATCAAGATGTCAAATAAGCTCCAATAGATTCCGGACATAGTACAGCACTATAGAGCTCTACGAAGATCTCAAACAAAACAAAACGCCTAACTATGTTGTACCTGACAAACTCTGTTCAGTATTTAAAAGGATGTTGAATCTACTCTTAGTTTAGTCAACCTAATAGCTTGTGATTGAATATTACGGACACATACATTTCACGTCCAACAACAATCCTATGACAATATGCACAGCAAAACTAAAGCTAAATTTGTTGTCTTGTTTCCATTAAGCTAGGCTAGGTAACAACTACACCGATAAGCACTTCAAAACCAGCATGGCTGGAGAAGACCTCAACCTATCTCCAGTTAACAGCCACTGAGGTCAGTCCTAGAGCTTGTCTCTGCTAACATATAGGGATATACCTACAAACGGCAGCACAAAACTGAGATCCCTAATCCTTTGTTAGTAGTGGAGGCATTTTTTCCTCAACAGAAAACACAGAAGTCTACATGATGTCACTTAACCTGGAAAAGCCAGAGGTAGTAGCAAGCACGCTTTATATTCCACAGCTAGCCCTGCTGCCTTGACCCTTCCTCTCCCCTATAACCCACATAAGGATTTTTTACTCCACAGTGTAGCCACAGCACACAGAAGGCTGGCTGGTCATAGAAGTCAAAACCTACTAACTTGTCTGAGTTCATCTGCTTTGTACCTTTGTTTGTAAAGCTCCAGGGCCTTTAACAAAAACTATTAGTGCCTATAATCCGCACAGTGTTTTAATCTTCAGAATGCTTTTTAAACAGCTTAAGGAAACAGCTGTGTTTGGAAAGAAGGACAAGACTTCAATCTATAAAGTTCTATAAATTATCATATATTGTCAGATATTATTATTGTCTGAATACACATCTTTCATATGAATGTTACTTTTGCATGCATTTGTTCAATCCCTTTCCTACTGTCATTTTTCATTTTATTTCTCCATTTGTAGAAAGAAATGCTTTTGGACACCTGTTAAAAGTCTACAAAAAAATTAAAACTTAGAACTAAGTTTGCTATCAAACTTCAGGCTATAAAGAATATGCAGCAACCACATTCGCTTTTAGTAGAAAGTTGAACCCTACTGTACTACAGATCATTGTATATGAAGTTCCATCCTGATGTCAGAAACTTCGAAAAGGACTTAAACCTGTAGCCTTTCTAAGGCTCTACTACTACGCAGCAGACTACTTTCTGCAAAGAAACAAAGGCCTGAATCCTAGGAAGTGCTTGGGTGTTCTCTGTAATACGAATTAAGATGTGTGTATTTAAACCTAGCCCCTTCACCCTTCATTTTGCTAACTCAGGCTTTAGCACTTTCTGAGATTACTGAAAAACAACGTGGCTGACATTACACTTCAAACACTCCAAGGGTGCTAAATTCATTAGTTCTACCTTAAGGTCACTCTTTCAATCCAACAGCCAAAATCTTATTCACACTACTGCGATGTTATCTTGGAAAAAAGAAACTGCAAAAAACAATTCAAGACATCAGCTTAGATACTTCTTACAAGTGACAAAATCATCACTAAAAATCCAAATCACAGTCAATACATTTTAGCAAGTTTCAAGAAAGCAGGAAAACTATTCTTTGGTTGTGCTGTAAAACGATCGAATTTTAACAGACCAGATAAAGGAAATAAAGGAAAGAGAAAATAACATTTCAATACCTGATAATTAGAGCTTTTAACTATTAGCTGAACTTGATTTACAAACAGTATTTACTAGAGTATCTGCTGGGAATTAAGACATACAAATAATTAAATATCCTTACTTTCCACTACACTTGTTTACCAATTTTTGTATATATAGTTTAAAATTTAACAAACTCAATTTTGCCTTATACTCAGTGGACATTTGTGTATTTATTATGAAGATTTTCTGAACATAGGGATTGCGTCTTCACAATTCTGAATGGTATTTTTGAAACGAGGTAATATTTTTGTAACATACTAGATTAATTGAACCTGTAAAATTGAAACATATGTTTAACTATATGCACTGTAAGAAGTGTTCATAACAAAATGGGGTACATGTCTACCAGGTAAGCATATTTGTCTATATAAATGAGGATGTCATTTTTTTCCTCCCTAAAAGGGATCATCTTGGAGATTCAAGACTCATTAACATGAGAAAAACTAGATTCTCTTCACCTCAAGTAACAGTGTCCTTAGAACTGAGAGCTTTCTGTCTAGCTTGTTAAGTTGAATGTACGCACAGCATTTATTTCCAGTGCTAAAGTAGTAATTGCCTCAAAACAGGCCCCTTCAATTCAGATCCTTACCTACAGGGCTCAGAAGATCCTGACCTCAAAGCCATCAGCTACATCACCCAATTTATCTGTTATAGTGCAAATATTTATACAGTTGTACCATTCTCACACAAATGCTGTGTTTCAACAAATCTTAAATTCTTTTTATTTTACTCACCTGCACACTAAGATGAATCCATTTCTTCACAAGAATTCTCCCCAATGTTATTACTTTTATTGGTGGCTGCAAACCATTTACTGTGCGATAATAAAACATGGTCTCTTTCTCAGAGATTGTGAGTTTGAACACAGTCTGCCCATCAATAGCCTTTTCTATCACACACCTTTGGAAATAACCAAGAAAAACAACATAAGGTCAGAGGCACACATATATACACATTCTTGCCAAGGTGCTATCTTGTAAAGTGATGCCAACCAGAATGTATTAAAATGAACATTAAAAATACAGCTCTTGAGAAGATGCTCAGTGACAGTAAAAGTCACATGTACTAAGCATAAAATGATTTTCACAAACATTTTCTTTCTTAATTTGTGATTAATATATACATAACACACATACATATATCTATTTTTTTTAGTGCATTCACCCTCATTTCACTTTGCCTTTCAGGGTTCTATGACAGAAAACACAGGGGCTGGCTTTTGCTCTTAAAACAAATATCTAAGCTTCTGCCTCATTAAATTCTCTGCTGCACTTTGCTTACAAAGCTCCACAACAGAGGGCATCCTATGGAGATGCTTCTAACAAAGAAAACATAATATACCTATGACAGTACTATGAATAACATTTTCTAGAAATAAAATTTCCATTTTTTCACCAAAGCAATCCACTTAAGGCAGCAATATCACAAGCTTTTCCAGTACTGTCCTTCTGGCACTGTCTTTCTCCAACCGAAGGGAACCGAGCTAGGCACGAGGGTTATCCAGCCACTGGTTAGTTCTTTTCCACCAAGTTTCATCAATATCAAATGCAATATGGACAAAAAGAAAAAAAAATAACAACTATAGCAAACCACATTGCATATGTGTTCAGATAGGTTTGCCAAACTGTTCACCACGATATCCAGGTTCCTAAAGGCTATATATGTTTGTCAAATGGGTATCTTACTTACTAGCAGCATCCTAAGTATAACACAAGAACAAACACCTACGTTCCAGCTTCAGTTGCTTAACAAAATCCAGTTCCAACTTACTTATAAAAAGCCAAATATTGTACCAGTTACACCAGAGTAAATTAATGCACTACTAAATTAGGAAAAAGGTATATAAAATTGAGACCAGGATCTACTTATATGTATTTCAGAAAAAACATATATCTGCTGATAAACTTCTTCAGTTTTCTTCAGCCTCACTGATATATATTTACAAAAGAAAAGAATCATAAAGGCAGTTCTTTGATACTGCCATTATTCACATTTATTCACATTATTCACATGATTCACATTTAATTCCGTGAGGAAATTAAATTCACCTTAACTGTTTCCATTTTAGTCTGTTGGAATGTTGTCATTAAAATAACTCACAGAATGCAGACTATTTTCCAATCCTTCCTAAAAACATATTACTTGATATATTAATCTTTTTAATATATTGTTTGCTTGTAAACATGGTAGTTTTGCTAGATAATAAATGTGAGAAAAAGCTCAGTTAAGTAGCAAAATATTTAGGAACTGGATTTAGCCAGTTCCTGGATAAACAATAATTGGATAATCCATTTTTTGTTTATTTTGCTTATCTAAAACAAACATCCCCACATTTTTTTTTTATCCCACAGGTGTCATGACTTTAAGAAGGGAAGTGACCTTCATGAATATCACTTTGAAAACTGCAAACAAAAAATATGAATTATAACTTACTGTTGAAAAAAAGAAACATCAAGAAAGGTAAAAAACAGGAGAGAGGAAAAAGAATTTTTTAAAAATGATGCTAATGGATTGGAAACAGGCATAAACATTCCTAAACATTACTTCTGACTAAGGGCACTGTTTTCCATTCTAGCCAAGCTTATAGAAAGAAACCACAGTTCTTTATGAAGTTTAGGATTTTGGTAACCTGCAACTTCACCGAGCCAATCTCTGACTAATTCACAATGCTGGGGTGAAAAGGAGCACCAGCGAACAAAAAAGTCGCATGTCAGCTTTCCATATAGAAAATACTCTTTAGAGCCCAGTGTGGATGCACTGCTGATCCTCAGACATTATCTGGGAACTGTGACTTTCTAGTGAAACTGCCCTATTTAGAGAGGGAAGACTTAGATGGTGATGAAAATAACTTTACTTAATCTAAGCAGACAACAAACCGAGTACAGAGCAATATGGTACAGACATCATAGCAAAATCCATACGATACAAGATATGAAATTAAAGCAAATGATAATTAGGCAAATAAGAAACAAAAATAAAAGTAAACATAATAAATAACATGTATTTAAAAAAACAAGGTAAAAGTCACCTCTTGAAAAGACTAATACAAAATTATTCTATGCAGAATAAAGTCTTGCTCACTAAATGGATTCAGCGAGTACATTTCAAGAATAGCTTGGAACACCCAAAAATAGGAACATCTTCATGACCACAGGCTCAAAAAGAAAATCAAATGTATGGTATCTTAAGGCAATTCATCCCTTCAGTCTAATCAGTAATGTATAGCATCTGAACTTATATAAAGTTAAAATATTAGTGTCTACTTCACAACCCTTTTGTGCACAGGAAATCCACCTCGCTTCTTTCTCACCACTTTCTGATCATCTTAGTCAGCCCAACTCATGCTAAATTAGTATAGGCTTCCTGCAGTGCTTACGCTGACAGGCTAAACTTCTGCTTGTATTCTCATTCCGTTCTATTTCTAGTAGCCATCCTGTGTTCCATATACATGTATATATACACACACAGTCACTAGAGTCTATGCACAGGTTTACTGAAAGCATTTTGATTAACTGATGAATATGCAGCATGGGGAAAAGAACAATTCACAGAATGGTTGAGATTGGAATGGACCTCTAGAGATCAAGTCCAACCCCCCTGCTCAAGCAGGAACACCTAGAGCACGTGGCAGAGGGAACAATTCAGGGAGAAGAGTTTTGTTCACTTACTGCACTCCTGCCTGAAGGGTAACAAAGACTGAACTTACAAACGTGTTTTCACACTACTCTCTTGCTTTTCTTCAGGACCACCATAGCTCTTAGAGTAACATTCAGGATTCAAAATAAATAAATAATATGACATGACTTTCTATGAAAGCATATTCTCAGCTTCACATAACAAATCTTAATATAAGAAACTGATGAAGAAAATTCTCTTTCCTGTCTTTAATTACTCATCCATAAGTTTTCCTTGAAAGTGAGCAACTTCTAAGGGCCCTCAAGTTTTGGATCCTTGTTTCACACTTTGCCACTTCAATAAGCTCAGTAACTCCTAGCAGGAAAATAAATAAATAAAAATAAATCTATTATTCTCTTGCAGAGGCACATCCCTAGCTGGGGAATAATGGAGTTCTTCCAAGAAGGCAAAGGATGTCCGACACCAGGTCTTTAGGGTTCTGTCCATAGCTCTCTCGAGCAGTTTGCATTCAGCACAGAGAAGTGCATTGGTATGGCAGACCCCAGAACTGTGGGTCTCCTGTATTAAATATCAGAGGAGTTAGTAACTGAACTATCTTGTTAAATTTGCAATTATTATACTTGTAAAACAAGCAGCGGGGTCTGGCCCATCTTCCTGGTGTTGTCAGGTTGCAGCAAAAAGACTTTGTTCAAAAGGGTTCAAGTTCAGTGAAGCCCTTCTGCGAGATCCGTGGTTCAAAAGGTCTCTCTCACAAAGGACTTCAAACAAAACAAAGGAAACCATCAGGGAATGCAAAACATAGGACACCTGGCAACCTAACTGCTTTTACCAACCCAAAAGACTTATTAAATCGATACAATAAAAGAAAAATATATATTATCACTTTAACACTCTGTTAGGCCGTTTCTCTTTTGTAGAGTGCCTTCCCAGTTAGGTTTCAGTGGCTACTTGTGTGGCATGAGTGGCTGAGTAGCCTTCTGCAAGCAAGTGCTTAACATACAGGTATCTCTACACTGTCCACGGCTATGCTGCCCAAAACACCTGAGTTATCTCTATAACTTCCCCAAAACCAGCATCCTGCATTCCTTCAGCTCTGCAGAGAGGGACCTGGGTGTCATGGTGGACGATAAGTTGACCATAAGGCAGCAGTGTGCCCTCGTGGCCAAGAAGGCCAATGGGATCCTGGGGTGCATTAAGAAGAGAGTCTCCAGCAGGTCGAGGGAGGTGATCCTGCCCCTCTACTCAGCCCTGGTGAGGCCGCATCTGGAGTACTGTGTCCAGTTCTGGGCTCCACAGTACAAGAGGGATGTGGAGCTGCTGGAGAGAGTCCAGCGCAGGGCCACAAGGATGATCAGGGGCCTGGAACATCTGCCCTATGAGGAGAGGCTGAGGGAGCTGGGCCTGTTCAGCCTGGAGAAGAGAAGGCTGAGAGGGGATCTAATCAGTGTATATAAGTACCTCAAGGGAGGCAGGGAGGAGGATGTTGCTGGGCTCTTTTCACTGGTGGCCACCAACAGAACTAGAGATAATGGCCAGAAACTGAAACATCGAAAGTTCCAAAGGAACTTAAGGAAAAATTTCTTGACAGTGAGGGTGACAGAGCACTGGAACAGGCTGCCCAGAGAGGTTGTGGAGTCTCCTTCTCTGGAGATCTTCAAAACCCGCTTGGATGCAGTCCTGTGCCACGTGCTCTAGGTGACCCTGCGTGTGCAGGGGGGTTGGACTAGATGACCTCTAGAGGTCCCTTCCAACCTTAAGCATTCTATAATTCTATGACTCCGTGAAAGAAGGAAAATTTACATGGGCAGCATTAAAAAAAAAAAAAAACTCTGGGCAACAGCCTGTCACCTGGTCCACTGGCCACAGTGCTGCCCAACTTTAGATTTTCAGGACTGCCCTACAGCACTGTCATTACTATGTGTTGAGTAGCAGCAATCCCGCAGAGCAGGATTGATCTCTTACAAAAATCAAACAAAGCATCTCAATTTTAACATGATCTATAAAACCCACTGAACAAGAGTATTTGTACTGTGCACATAACACAGCAACAGTAGAACAGCAAAGATTTACATGGGTCCATAGATAACCAGACCCCCATGGAGCCCTTTTTCTGCACAGCACTTAGTAAGTCAAAGCAAGGCACAGGCTTTTGAAGGGTTTAGATTCCATGCAAGCAGCAGCCTGTCACAGCGGCAAAACAGCTCCACGGATCTCACTCGACAGCTCACTGCAACAGCTTGCATGGAAATTAGCAGGACTTCTCTGCTTCAAGTTAAGCATATGTTCTGCTGAGAAATAATCTGATATGTATCCACACACACAAGCTCTTGCTAGAAGGCAACCGCAGTCATGGACTGTTCAGGATTCAAACGTTACATGGAAGATGCTGCCCACGAATTATACCAGGCTAAAGCTCCAGAAACTTCTTCACACACCCTACAGCTGAGCTGATTTAGCTTAAGCTCAAATTAAAGTCATTTTTGCCAGATGAAGCTTGCATTTTTTCCCATTCAATGACCACAGCAATTTCAGTAGGGTAATGATTAGAGCTACGTTGATTTTTTTTTTAAGGTAATTTTTCAGGCATTTAGCAGACTGCAGTTTTAACTGTTGCTAGTATTTCTAGTGATTTTCGCCCACCTAGACAGAACGTGTTTGAGTAGTACGCAAAATAGGTATCAAGAATGATGCACAGGGTACATCATGACTTTCACTCTAAGAGCAAGTTAAGATTCTAAGTGCAAAAATATTTGAGATACAAAGTACAGTACATCCCTTCAGAGCATGTATGTGCTTCACTTTAAAAAGGATCTGCATAACCAGGAAGAGGAGGCATCTATTCATTTTTATGACAGATAAAATGAACTTTTCTGCAGGATTTGTGATTTCCTCCCTCCCCCCAAAAAGGTCACTAAAAGTCATATTTGCTTAAAAAGTGATATATAGGCAAGCCAAGGGAGAACCACATTTAGTTATTGGCGAACACTTTGTGAAACTGCATAAATAGTTTGAATGGGATAGTTTGTTGCAGTATTAATGTGAGCTCTGATTTTCAACGTTCCACATATCTTCCAGAAAAGAAAGAAAGAAAGAAAATTGCCCTTTTATGGTACTAAAATATTCACTTTGAGATTTGGGGGTTTTGCTTCCCTTTTTAAAGGAGTAAATTCATATTAGGGGGTTCCTAAAAATTTTAGATCACTTTTCCCATCATGCAAACAGCAACAGCAGAAATCCTTGAAACATGTCTTTCCAGAGGCTTTCAAAAGGAAAAAAAAAAACATGATTTAGAAACACAAATGTACATCTTAAAGCACAGTCATAGATGTTGTGTATCAATAGTTCCACTGAAAATAAAGGGACTATCATGTGCATCAGCACTACAGAAATTGATCCGCCTAGTCCTGACACTTGGGAAGACCCCAGCCTAAATACAGCTTTAAAACGTCATAGTTTCTCACTGTACCTTTTTAAAATTTTAAATAGCTTGCTAATAATGACTGTGACTATAATGATCAATTTTTCTAAGAGCATCAGGAAAGTAAACACCTGCAATGCTACTTACATTACACCTTCTTGCTCAGGTTTCAACCATACAGTTAATGTAAATGAAGCTGCAGGCCTCAGGGAGCGGGGAGCAGCGAAGCAATCCCTGTGATCATGAAAAATAAAACTGGAAGCGTTGCTGAAGGACCCTGGATGCACGTCCCTTTTGTCTTCGGTGACACAGGTACCGAGGCCTTCTGAAAGCAGCAGCTTGTAGGAAGCAGGCGAAGACCTGTACGGACACTCCTGAATACAAAACCTCTGGGTGCAGGACATAATACTCTCAACAGCAACTGAGCTATGACAAAAAGTACCTCGGTCCAGCAGCCCACAGGTGGCTTGAGTTGGCACAACTGACACATTCTTGAAAGCTCCCACATTTTCTAGCCTCGGGAAATGCCCCTGAGAGCTGACCAACAGAAAGGAGTCATAGTAAGTTAGGATTAATGTTTCAATAGCATGAAACAAGAAACGACACCTTACGGAAAGAGCCCAGCAATTCATGTTTACAAAAAAGCTCTTCCTGATTAAAGCATCCGTAAATAAGTAATGATCTCCATGGCGGTGGCAGGATCCTCAGACGGGTGCTTTAAGGGATTACACAGTGTTTCCTCTCGAGAAGGCCAGCGCGAGGACTCCGTCACTGGGGGCATCGGCGTCTTCTGGCGGGCGGCAGCCGGTACCTGCAAAGCACACGAAACAGGCAGGGTCATCAGAGGAACCTGCCATCTCCTCCTACAGTCCGGAGGCAAAATCCCTCCTTCCCCTTTACGGCAATATGCCAAACGTTTACACTTTAGCTAGCTAAGGCCAAG